GGGACAGACGTCCACACGCCACGGGGGCCTGGGGGCGCGCGGGACAGACGTCCACACGCCACGGGGGCCTGGGGGCGCGGGGGACAGACACATCCTTATACCATGGGGGCCTGAGGGCATGGGGGACAGACATTGCCCACTGCAGGAGGGCGGGGACAGACACATCCTTATACCATGGGGGCCTGGGGGCACGGGGGACAGACATCGCACACTGCAGGAGGGTGGGGACAGACACATCCCTATACCATGGGGGCCTGAGGGCACGGGGGACAGACATTGCCCACTGCAGGAGGGCGGGGACAGACACATCCTTATACCATGGGGGCCTGGGGGCACGGGCACAGACATGTCCACACACCACAGGGGCCTGAGGGCACGGGGGACAGACATGCCTGAGTATGATGGGGGCCGGCCTGCCCGTCCCAGGTCAGAGCCTCCACCGAGTTGGGGTGGCTTGCCAGCGTAGGAGAACTGCTCAGGCAGAGGCCTTTGTTTTAAAACTGGCACACGGGGTGTGGTTCACTGCCAGTAGAAACACAGGACTGAAGTGTTCCCCGTGGGCTACAATTTCCCAGCTGTGGACAAGCTGAGAGACCCAAGTGCACTGTTGTTCTAGTCAAGGGAGAGTCTTTAAAAGAAAAAATTGGATTTGTATGTGTGCATTGTAAACTATGTAAAATACTTGGTTTATAGTCTGCTTAGAGAAACGTATTTCTGGTACCAGGAGAAAGTATTTTTCTGCAGACTCTCCTGCTCCCAGAGTCTGAACGCAGTGCAGCCTGCCACAGGGGGACACCCGCTAGGCAGGCGCCATGACGGGCCGAGCGTGCCCCCGGTGGCTGCAGCGGCTGTGCGGTGGGCAGGCCGGGGTCTGGGCCTCCAATCTTGGCGAGGCCCGGCCTGCAGTAACAGCTCGGCCACTGAAAACAAACACGGCACAGCGTGAGGGTGCAGGCAGGACTCACGTGGATTCCAAACCAGGAGAGCTGGTCCAGGCCTCTGCTCGCGGGCGGGCCCAGCAGGCCACCCTGCCGCAGAGAGCCACCGGCAGTTACACTTCTGTCGTAAGCAGACGGTGCCTTGTATTTTTGTCCTCCCAGCTGTCTTTATAAACGGCATCTCTCAGAAGCTCTTGCTGAAATATTTTGTAGTCAGGCTAAAAATAATCTATTGGAATCGTGAGAATCCAGTGCACATTTTGAATGCTCCGGGCTTGAGTCAGGGCAGGACCCAGGGACCTGGTTTCCAGCCCGGCTAGCTCCAAAGTGAAGACAGGAGAAGGCTAGGGACAAGCCAGCAGCTCCAGAAGTCGCTGGGCACCGCTCAGGAGGGAGAGGAGCACGTTCTAGTGTTTCCCACTGTCCCAGGAGAGGAACAGGCCGGGCTGCACACACCACCCAGCCTTCACCAGCCGCCCTCACGACCCATGACACCAGGGCTGTCAGCGTTGCTGTCTCTAACAGCAAGTGATACTGAGGCACATTAGCATTTCTGGAAATAGCTGTGTGCATGTTAAATGCATAGCCTTTTCATTTTTTAATACAGTTTTCCATCTGGAGTCTGCTTAGAGGATCCTTTTTTGCAGCCTCCAGGTGCACACTCAGAAAGCTGTTCTGTGGGACTTGGTGGACGGGCAGGCCCGGGGCGCTGCATCCTGTGAGGGTGGAGGGCACCAGAAGCTAATGGAGCCCTCCTCCTCTAGTCTAATGGAGCGATCAGGCTAGAATGGTCAAGACACGGAGCCCAGTGAAAAGCTGGCACAAGCGCTGTGTCACTACACATGCTTACACAGTGCACAGCACACGTGCACACACAAACACGTACACGCATATGCACTCGTGCATTTACACACGCATGTACAGGTACATACACACAAACATGCATGCATGTGCACACCCGTTTACACATGCACACATGCATGCACATGCACACACATGCATGCGTGCACTCTGGCAGGCTGGCCTAAGGGACTGAGTTCTCCTGAGGCCCCCGGGGGCCCTAAACTCCAGGAACTGCTCTGTGAGAGGGTGGAATTCCTTCAGAATTCCTTCCATCAGCCAGAGCCCTTACAATGGGGAGCTCCTTGTGGAGCCTTCAGGAATTATCTCGGAGGAGATAGAGAGGCCTAGCCAGGTGGGGCAGATAGTGGGTGAGCTGGGTAGGCACCCTGCCCGAGGACCCCCTCCCACTTATCACGCTGAGCTCCTTGCACCACTGCGTAGTGCCCCAGCCTTCTGGAGTCAGCAGGCCCCTCTATGAGCTGCCTGTGAGGGGTGTCATGTCCCAGGACACCGCAGTATGGACGGCATGAGCAGCAGCTCTGATGGCCGCCCCTGCACGTCTTCTCTGTGGCCCGCATGGGTGCCGGGCCAAGGCCCTTGTCCAGGAGGCAGTGTTCTGGACTTGGTCAGGTGAGGCAAGGGAGCCTGGAAGGCAGGGCCACCACATCTGTGGGTCCCAGGGAAAAGCAGAGTGGCCCCTGGGCTTGGGTGAGCCGGGGGTGAGGGCGAGGCAACAGCCGGCAGGTAAACGCGAGGTGAGGCTGTGGAGGCGGGCAAGGTGTGGCGGGCCATCACATGCTCAGGCTGAGACGCAGAGACCCTTGGCACGGGGTCGGGGGCGCCTGTTCCACCCCTGTACTTCCAGACCCCACTCAGAGGCCCCTCCCAATCACCTCCACGCTTTCTGCTCGCCGGAGTCTGCTGACGGACCTCACCAGCTGCCCTGGGTCAGTGGTGAAAAGCTCCTTGTCAGCTTCCACATGCTCCTGGCTGGGGTCTGCACCGACCTTCCGCACACCTGAAGCTGCCCTTGCCTCTCCGAGATCTGCTAAACTTCAAGGCTGTCCCTCCTAGCCTGGGCCTTGCCCATGCTGCCCACAGCCCAGCAGACTGGGGCGGGGGCAGGGGCAGTGGAGGCCACTGAGTCAGGGCTAGCAGGCTTCTTGGTGGTCTGGGGACTGCCCCAGGCAGAGGGGCTTCTGGACTTGGACTTGAGAGGAGGCAGGGAAGGGTTAGGGAGGCTAACGTGAAGAGGGCCATGAAGTCTGCACCAGGCGCAGCAGGGGCTGAGGCCTGGGTTCAAGTATAGCAGGTGGCCCATCAGGACCAGAGGTGGCCGCTGGGGTGGGTGCGAGGGCAGAGTAGGTGTGGCAGGAGCGTGACTGGCATGAAAGTTGTTGATTCTGAATGGAAGCCCACCGTGCGCTCTACAGGATGGTCGGGCCCAGTCTGTCTTCTGCAGGATGCTGGGTGGAGAACGTGGGGAGGCTGAGCCCAGCACAGCCCTGCAGCTCAGCTGTGCGCACTTGGGTTTGTTAAAGACTGAACAACCCAAAGTGTATTTTAAGAAAAAACGAGAATGCTTTTTAGGCACAAACACCACTGTTGGCCGATCTGCCTTCCTCCCAGGTGAACGTTTACGTGCTGGGGAAGACGTTCCTCCTCTTGGCGAGAGAGCTCTGCATCAACGCGCCGGCAATAGGTACGCGCTGGGGCTGGCCGTGCGGGTGACCGCGTGCCCGGTGTTCTTCCCAGGGTGGGAGGAGAGCAGGTGAGTGTGCAGGACTTCTCAGGTAAGAAGAGTCTCCCTAAAGGTCACCCAGCAAGACGGCGGCTGCCTGCGGGTGGACGTGGGTCAAGCAGTTGCAGTGGAGCTGGGGGCATGGGGTGGGGTCGCTCCTGCATGTGGCGTTCCCCCTGGCCAGGCAGAGGCTGAGCTTTACAAAGAAGGGAATTAGTGTTCACAGCTGCTTAGAGAGGGAGGCTCCTGCCTACTTTGCCATCAGTCTAGAAGTGTGTTTCGCTGAATTAAAGAGGGGAGCATGTGGGGCCTAGGTGGGTGGCTCAAGGCACCAGCAGGACTGGGCCCAGGTATAGGAAAGGTGGGCTTTTTGGTCATCAGGAAGGAGGGGCAGGGGGGCAGCAGCATGGCACAGCCCCACAGGGAGGGCAGCCACAGCAGAGGGACACTGGGCTGGGGCTCTGCTCGCCGGCCCTGCTCACTTCCTGAGGCCACATCCCTGTCCCCTCCTCAGCGGTCAGGTGGAGGCATTCCAGGAACAGAGCCACTGCCCGTGGTGTTGGGGGTGAGTCATCAGAGCCGGCTGCACTCTGGAGCAAGCTCACCAATGGCAGTCGTGCAGCAGGGCTTTGTCTGAGCCGCCGTGATGCTTTGAGTAGAAACAACCAGCCCTGCCTTTTACAGAGCGTTCTAGTCAGTAGACCTAGAATGGAAGCGAGCCCAGCCGGCCTGCCGGCAGAGAGCAGACACTGGGCAGGCAGGACCAGGGGCGGGCGACAGATGGCTCCCTGGGACGTGTTCTGCGTACCACTCGGCATCACCTAGTGGTTTACAATTTCTCGTAGCGATGGCAGAGGGTAGTTTTCATCTTCTCCGTTGTGAGAAGTGGAACACCCAGTGTAGGACTTCTGTACTCATCTGTCTACGCGTGGCCATGGTTTTGTTAGAACTTTATTATGAAAACCCACTTAAATAGACGAATAGCTTTAACAGACTCCCCCACCATTTTGGAGGGACGATATCAGGAAACTACTTAAAATCCAAGAGTGTGGGATGATGGCAGATCCCTCAGAGCAGGTTACATGGGTGCTACTGGAAGGGGACCAGGGCCCGCCTTGCACCCCAGAGGCTGCCCTCCACCTGAGACACATACCCCACTGTACAGCAGACACCTGTGAGGCCCACAGAGACTCAGCCACAGACTCAGAAACGCAAGCCTCTGGCCATGTGGAGAAGCTTTCTATTTCACAGTTTACAGCTACAGCTGTCTACACACACACGAGATACAGAGTGAAGCCATGAAAGTCTTAGCTGGCCCGCTCTAGGGGTAAGTGTGCATCAGGCGCCAAGCACCCACACTTACTTGGGTAACGTTCTGGAGAAAGGGGGACAAGCGGGGCCACCTACCACGTGCCCATCCACAGTGCACCACGGCCAGGCCTGGCATCTCAGGCGTAGAAGATGAGCTCTGGGATCTGCCCGCCCTGGACCCCGGTCCCGTTGGTGCTGTCGGAGGAGCACTGGAACTGGAAGGTCACCTTGCCGCACTGCACCTCAGTCATCCCCTCCTGCCCAAAGTAGCTGAGCTCACTGCCGTCCAGGACCGCACTCACCGTGTAGAAGGTGTCCTGCTCGACCTGGACTGGGTTCTCAAACCAGACGGGGAAGGTGTTACTGGAGCCGTCGGAGACGAACTTGGTCAGGTTCTGAGCCAGGACAACCCCCAGCCGCTTCAGTTCAATTTTCACGCTGTACTCAGCTTTCCCGGAGCTCGACCCGTACAGCCCCAGCCCAGCAACAAACACCCTCCTGTCCACTGCAAACTGGATGCTGTCACACCGCCCCCGGTACCGCCACTGGTTGCTGCGGTAGGCCGAGGACTGGAAGCGGTGGCACCTCTGTGGGGCGAGGCCCTTCCTCTTGGTCAGGGGGAACTCAAGGGGGGGCTTCTTGGCAGCCGTGTACCAGAGAAAGATGTTGTGGGTCTCCTCCAGCGTTAGGATGTCCGACTGAGCTGCGCCGTTGGCAAATTCCTCCAGGGTCATGGTGGGAATTCGGACCAGGTAGAGAGCTCGTCCCAAAACGTGCCTTTTGTTCCGCGGGGTGACCGGCAGGCCTTGCCTCTTGCACTCCGCCTCGGCCCAGTTCAGGACGGCCTCGAAGACCACAGCCTCCTTGGTGTTGAGGGCCTCCCGCGTCACGATGATCTCCAGTGTCTGCCGGTCAATCTCACAGAAGCCTTCTGACCGCAGCGCCATCTCGGCCTGCGCATCGATGACCTCCCAGCAGCGCTGGGTCAGCTCGGGCTCCTCAAACAGCCGGCTCTGGGAGAGCAGGACGCAGGCGTTTTTTGCTTCCAGACTTGTCTCCAGAAAGTTGACACAGGCTTTGGCGAGGGCAGGGACGATGTACTTCTTGGCGGCATAGAGGGTGGCCAGAACAGTGTCCGCTTCCAGGTCGATTTCATCACTGTACATGTACCTAGGCAAAGAAGGGCCAGCGTCAGAAGCCGTGAACAGAGGTTTGGATGGCTCCTAGGCCTAGGAATGAGACCCACTAGCTCCTTTTGTCCCTTCGGTGACACCCAGGCAGAAAGGAACCCCATCCTCATCGACGTCAAGAACAAACTTACTTTAATAAGATGAGAAAAGCTGCCGGCTCCACGTCGGGTATGTGAATCTCTGACTTGACTTCTGCAAGGTCCCCGTAAAACATGGCATAGAACACGGAACTGCCCACGGCCAGGACGTACTGTGGACGAGAGAAAGAGGTGCTCTGAGCCCAGAGTCCTCCCTCCTGAGGCTGCAGGAGCAGGCATGAGGGGGGCTGCTGGGTCACAGGAGAACCTACAACGAGAAGGGGGCAGGTCGCCTTGGGATGAGCCTTGCTACCAACCTTGTGGGCCGGCACCCTCCTGGCCGCCCCCAGGGGCCCCACGATGAAGTGGACGTCGGCCATGAGCTCGTTGTTGAACATCAGTGCGTTCCTGCAAAGGGCGGACACAGGGCTTGGGTCTGCACGCAGCGCGGCGGCCCAGGGCGTGGCCGGACGGGCGGGGGCGCGGGGCCCAGCTCACCTCTCGCGCAGGGTCGGGTGGAAGGATTGCCAGTTGGAGTTCTCCAAGTTGTTGTTGTTGAGAGCGGGCGGCGTGGGCGCGGGCGG